CCGATTAGAGGTGACCCTAACAGCTACAAATGGTAAACCCTAAACCCTAAACCCTAAACCCTAAACCCTAGCGGGTTGCTTATTTATTGATGAATTATTATTTTATTTATTCATTCATTTATTTACTTTTTTGTTATTATTTATTTATTTATTTATTTATTTATTTATTTATTATTATTATTTATTATTTATTTATTTATTTATTTATTTATTTATTTATTTATTTGTTTATTTATTTGTGTTACTCAGCATATTACAAACTGAGTTCATCTCTGCTGCTGCATTTACCTACGGCTGAAGGCAATGGGGGGTTTTCTGTTGCAATCTCTCGAAGTGTTAGTTGCTGCTGCTGCTGTTGCTGCTGCTGCTCCTGCTGCTGCTGCTGTTGCTGAGTTGTTGCTCTTGCTCGTCCTGGTGCTGTTGCTGCTGCTGCTGCTGCTGCTGTTGTTGTTGTTGCTGCTGCTGTTGCTGAGTTGTCGCTGTTGCTCGTCCTGGTGCTGCTGCTGTTGCTGCTGCTGCTGCTGCTGCTGAGTTGGTGCTGCTGCTCGTGCTGGTGCTGTTGCTGCTGCTGGTGCTGCCGATGAGTTAGTGTTGTTGCTGCTGCAGCGTTGCTGCTGTTGCTGTTGCTACTGTTGTTGATACTACTACTAATGCTGGTCTTGCTAATGCTGCTGCTGAGTTGCTGCTGGTGCTGCTGCTACTACTGTTGCTGCTGCTGGTCTTGCTGCTGCTGCTATTGCTACTATTGCTGCTGTCCCTACTAATACTTGTTCTGCTGCAGCTTGAGCAATCGCAGAAGGCTGCGGACCCGCGATCAGCAGCAGCAGCAGCAGCAGCAGCAACAGCAGCAGCAGCATCAGGGGCTTCTATGACTTCGCTGCACCTAACTGCAGCAGGAACAATGATAGAGAAAACGGAGCAGCAACTGATAAGTGCTGCAGTAGAAACGCAGCTAGCTAGAAGCGCACAGGTAAACCCTAAACCCTAAACCCTAAACCCTCATCAGTGCTGTAGTAGAAGCCCAGCTAGCTAGAAGCGCAGAACTAAACCCTAAACCCTAAACCCTCAAGGGTTTGTATCTGTTTGCATGTCTTTGTTAATTGTTTGTTTTTTTATTTTGTTAATTTAGATCATAAAAGACGTCCGCTCTTCAACAGAGACAGATCAGGTATATTTATTTATTTATTTATTTATTTATTTATTTTATTTTGTTATATTTTATTTTGTTTTAATTTTATAGTTTAATTTCTTTAACGTTGTTTGTTTGTCTCTGTCTGTCTTAGTCTGTGTCTTTGTCTTTGTTTATTTTTTGTTTGTCTTTGTTTATTGCTCTTCTTTACGCAGTCTCTTTACTCTTCTTCTGCCTCCCTTTATCTCTTCTTTTTATCGTTATTATTATTATTAATAATAATAATAATATTATTATTATTATTATTATCCTGTCTTTGTCTCTGTCTTTTAATTTGTTCTTTGCTGTCTCTCTTTGTCTCTTCTTCTCCCTTTGTCTCTTTATCTGTCTCTCTTCGTCTCATTATTATTATTATTATTATTATTATTATTATTATTATTATTATTATTATTATTATTATTATTTATTTTTGTTTTTATTTGTTTAGGGTTTATTAAATGTTATTAGAGAATTTGCAGCCTCTCGATCCACACTCCCGCACGCCTCTTCTCAAGATTTAGCAAACCAGCTAGCTAGCTAGCTAGCTAGCTAGCTCGTTAGCTAGCTAGCCAGTTAGCTAGCTAGCTAGCTCATCAGCTAGCCGCTTGCGTTTGGAGCTAGCTAAGTAGCTAGCTGATTGGTTAGCTAGCTAGCTGAGCGGATAGCTAGCTGGTTGGTTAGTAGTTAGCTAGCTATGGACAGCTAGCTATGCAGCAAGCAAGCAAGCTAGCTAGCTAGCTAGCTATGCAGCTAGCTAATCAGTTAGCTAGCTCGCCAGGCAACACCGCAGGAACAGCACTATGCCCATGCTGAGACGTCGAGGTGCAGCATCCACAGAAGCCTGCAGCAGCAACAGCAGCAGCAGCAGCAACAGCAGCAGCAGCAGCAGCAGCAACAGCAGCAGCAGCAACAGCAGCAGCAGCATTTCTACTTTGATGTTATCTTCATGTTGATTGAGAGCCCCTCCTAAACACAGCAACACACGCAACGGCATTGCTGCTGCTGCACAGGAGCAGCAGCAACACCAACAGCAGCAGCAGCAACAACAGCAGCAACCCTTCGAGTCCCCTAGGGGCCCCCCGTGGGGCCCTTCTTGCCTACGACCCTAAACCCCCGCTAAACCCTAAACCCTCCTAAACCCTAAACCCTCCTAAACCCTAAACCCTCCTAAATCCTCGTAAACTTAAAACCCTAAAGCCTAAACCCTAGGAGCATTTGATGGGTTTAAAGAAAGGCATTAATATTTGATGTTTACCGAGCACAAGAATAGCAAAGAGACGAAAGAACAGCTCGCGAAGAACTGTAGTAGGAAATGTAGAAGCAGAGTTGCAGTGTACATGCACCTCATCTGCTGGAGGCAGCAGAGAGGCCCTCAGCTTATCTGTTATAAATATACCTGAATGCAACCAACCTAACAACAAAGAAAAACAAAACCTAGGGTTTAGGGTTTAGGGTTTAGGGTTTAGGGTTTAGGGACTAGGGTTTACGGCGAGGGTTTAGGTAGGGGTGGTTTCATAATGGTGTTTGTGTGTGTAGCAATGTTTAGGGTTTAGGGTTTAGATACTATTAGGGTTTAGATATCATTAGCGTTTAGGGCTCATTAGGGTTTAGGGTTTAGGGTTTAGGGTTTGCACCATCTCGCGAGTAAGGCAAACAGCTGCATATAGAACCATCATCTTTGATAGCAGCAGCAGCTGCTGCAGCAGCAAAGACAGGCTCAGACGAGGTGTATGTACAGCTTAACTCTGTCCAGTGCACAGATTGAAGGGGGGAGCTGCCTATACACCCCACAAACAAACACACAGTAGTCCCTAACGCTGCTGCTGCTGCTGCTGCTGCTGCTGCTGCAGCTTGAGGCTGCTGCTGGTACTGCTGCTGCTGCTGCTGCTCCAGGCTGCTGCTATTGTTGCTGTTGTTGCTGCTGCTGCAGCTGCTGTTTGTCTTACAAAATGCTTGGAGTCCCTTTTCAGCAGCAAATTGTTTAAAGACAGGAGACAGCAGCAGCTGCGGCAGCAGATTTGCTGCTGCTGTTTCTTTAGGTGGGGTGCAGCAAAAGAAACAGCCGACAGACAGACAACCCCAGATACCCCTAAACAAACAAATCAGGTGCAGCAGCAGCAGCAGCAGCATAAGCAGCAGCATCAGCAGCAGCAGCATCATCAGCATCAGCAGTAGTAGTAGGAGTAGTACAGTAACAGCAGCAGCAACAGAAGCAGAAGCAGCGGTAGCAACACCAGCAGCAGCAGCAGGGGTAATAGGGGCAGCAGCAGCAGCAACAGCAGTGGGTGTGATATGCCTTAATCTGCTGCTCTGGTCCCTTGGGGTTTGAACTGTCTCCTTTGTCTTCTGTCTCCTTTTCTGTCTCCTTCTGTTTCTGTCTCTCTTTATCTCTTTATCTGTCTCCTTCTGTTTCTGTCTCTCTTTATCTCTTTATCTGTCTCTCTTTGTTTCTTTATCTGTCTCCTTTTCTGTCTCTCTTTATTTCTTTTTAATTTCCCTCTGTCTCTTTCTTACTCTCCCTCTCTGTCTCTGTCTCTGTCTCTGTCTCTGTCTGTCTCTCTCTCTCTCTCTCTCTGTATATATATATATATATCTATATATATACATACATATATATATATATCTATATAAATATATATATATATATAGATATATAGATATATATTGATATATATATTTCTTCTTCATTATTTCTCTGTCTCTGTCTCTCTCTCTCTCTCTCTATATATATATATAGATATATATCTATATATATATATATATATATATCTATATATATATAGATATATAAATATATATATACAGATATATTTATACATATATTTCTTCTTTATTATTTCTCTGTCTTTTTCTCTCTATTTCTTTTTCTGTCTCCTTTTGTCTTTGTCTGTTTATTTTTGTTCTTCTCTTTCTGTTTCTGTCTGTCTATATGTACAAATATATATATATATATTATGTATATATATATATATATGTATATATATATATATATATGTATATACATATGTGCATATATGTATTTATATATATATATATATTATAATATTATTTTCTCTGTCTGTCTCTGTCTCTCCTTGTCTCTCTCTATATATCTATTTTTTTATTTATTTATGTTCGTCTCTCTTTGATTGTCGCTCTTTGTCTGTCTCTCTTTGTTTATTTCTTTCTTTTGTGTTTATTATTTCTTTGTATCTGTCATTTCTAGCTGTTGCTGCTGCTGCTGCTGCTGCTGCTGCTTGTTTTGCATTTGCTGCTGCTGGTGCTGCAGCTGCTGCCGACCATCTCTGTAGATACTCCTTAATGTCTCCTTCCAGCAGCGCTGTCTCCTCAGCAGGCAGTCGCACAAATGCATCATCTGCTGCTGCTGCTGCTGCTG